ATCAATTTCTCCTCCGATCCGCATTAAACGCATCAGGTCCGACCCGCGTAAAACGCATCGTGTCTATCACTATCCAACACTTCTGCCCGCGTAAACGCATCGTGGCCCGTGTCTCTAGCCCGCGTAAACGCATCGGCGCAACACCGATCTCCATATACGGACCGAACCCGCGTAAACGCATCGGGTTGGCCGTCTTCGGCAATCCGGGCATCGTCCGCGTTAAACGCCTCGGACGGGTTCACTACCCCGCGTAAACGCATCGGGGTTTATTGTGATCACACATTCACAAGCACCAATTTTCATCTGAACCCCGCGTTAAACGCATCAGGGCATTTTAGGTGATCACAATGCACATGTCACTCGAGCACACTTGTAAATGCACATGCCGTGCCAATGCTCGTGATGCAAACTCATGGCCATAAACTTCACACTCGGGCATTCACTTGCACCGCACCACTAACTCAAATCACGATACAATCATGCGCATTTGCACCACGCATATTCAATTTCATAAATCAACATGCCCAATCAGACAATCAATTCAAATCAGCCATGGCATCAACTTGACACACAATCCATGCACAATCCACACAACCGGGATAACAAGAACCCTTGCATTCGAGGCCCGCCAAGCTATTCCATTCTTAGTCCCGCTAAACAAGCAACATGGCATCCTAAAATCAATCACAACAAGGCTCATTTAGCTAGTCAATTGATCAATGCGATCAATCCCGGTAATTGCACAATTAAACTTCAAATTGATCACGCCTCGCCTAAATCAAATCCTGCCGTGGCCAGCCGCTATACCGCAATGTCTAGGCCAATAAATATCTTCAAAATGCCCCATTAAACTCCCCAAACCATCATTCTAATCAGCCACCACAAAGATCAAATGAGGCGCGCACTAAAATCCATATTTAAAGCCCGAACTTACTCCAAACTTGGACCGCTCCGAACCAATCTGTCCAGCCATCTCACGGCACCTCGCGGGTCACTAAATCTCAACTAAATTGTCGCACTAAGCCCGTAAAATAGCCACCAAGACAGCCACCATTCGGTCTCCCAATTTCACCCGCTAAATCCACAATTCCGTCCAAATCACGGCACCTATGCCTCGCCACATCACAGCACACTATAGTCCACTAAACCTCAATTAAATCATCATTCTCGGTCACCAAACGGGCCACAAAAATCAGCCTCTAGCGGCCTCCACTCGGTCCTCAATTTGCACCCGCCAAATTCACATTTTCGCCCAAATTAAGGCGCCTATGCCCAGCCGACTCACAGCACAATACGGGCCTCTAAATCTCAATTAAATCATCACTCTAAGCCTCGAAATCAGCCGCCATATCAGCCTCTAACAACCTCCACAATTTAACCCCTAAAATACCCTAATTAACCCCTAAAACCCATCTAGAAATGCAAATTGTCCTAATTAGGGCTTAGGGTCAAACTCACCGGATGTCCTAAGCTTGAGACGGCCAAACACGCGATGAAAAGGGGCTGGGCAGCGGCGGTCCCTCGCCGGAACAGTAACGGCGGCGGCGGCGAACGGCGAACGGCGCGAGCGGCGGCGACGGCTTAAGCTAATCCACGGCGGGTTGGAAGGGAGAGGGGGCTGACCGGCTGAGGTGAGAGGAACGGCGGCTCACGGCGGCGGCACCAGAGACGGCGACGGCGCTCCGGCGAAGACGCACGGCGCTGAGAAAGGGGGGGCGAACCGGTGGTGACGGGGCAGCAAGGCGACGGCCGGGACGATGGCGGCGACGTCCAGGTGTCGGGGCGGTTCTGGGGAGCTGGCCGGACGACTGGACGACGGCTGGGACTCGCCGGACGCGGCGGCGAGCCGAGCTCGCGCGCTCGGGAGAGGAGGAAGGCAGCGTCGGGCGGAGCTGCCGCGCGGCGCGGCGGCGCGACGACGGTGCGAGGAGGACGGCGGCGTCGGCGGCTGGTAGGGTGGCGTCAGGCGGAGCTGGATGGGCGGTCGAGCAGCAGCCGGCGAGCAGAGCAGGAACGAAGCAGAACCAGTCGGGCCGAAGACGAAGAAGGAAGAAGGAGAAAAAGGAAGAAGAAAGAAGGAAAAGAAAAGAAGAAAGGAAGAGAGAGAGAGGGAAGGTGGGAGTTGGTCTGCATGGCAGGGGCTGAGGGGACGTGGGCAGGGGGAGACGTGCGCAGAGAGGACAGGCGCGGCAGACGAGAGAGAGAGAGAGGGAGGGAGAGAGAGAGAGGGAGAATAAAAGAAAATATTTGAACATTCAAATATTATTTGCAATCCGATGGCCCAAATTAAAAACCGAGAGTGGTCTACCGGTCCAAAATAAGCCTCGCACATAAAAAGGGACAAATGCCAAATTAATTAGACCAAATCATAACGAGGGAGGTCTACTAGTCCAAATTCGCACGTGGTCAAAAACTCCCATTTTTCCATCATTCCTGACAATCTCAACGCTGGCCACAACAATATCGACACCGTCCAATTTATTTTGTCCCGAAACTCCCGGAAATCGACTGCCAAGTTCGGGATCCAAATAACGGCCAAATTTGATCGAGTGCGATTCTAGCGAAATCTCTAATTTAAAAATGATAACCGGGAGTGATCAGTTCCCGGGTGAGATTTTTACTATAAGCACACTGACAAATTACGCGTTTTATAAATCCCAAAAATGGGCCGAAATTCGGGATGTCACAGTAAAATTTAGTTAGTTGCATTTTAAAAAGCAAATAAGTCCTAAGAAAACTCCGTTAACTTTGATCATCATGATTACCTTCTTTCGTTTTATTTTATCGTGTGTTATTTGTAAAAACAAATTATGTATATATTTTGTATTTGAATAATATTTTGAATTTTAACAAAAAAGTAAACATTGTTTTTGAGTTTTAAGAAACACAAACAAACGAGTGCTAAGAAAATTCAGCTATTATGTGTCATTTGTGAAACCAAAACTATGAATATATATACATATCTATCAATGATAGGAAAGTTAGGTAGAGTGCAGTTAAATGGCTGAGTCACATCGTCACAAAACTCCATTCTTTCACCTTTCTTAAATTAATTAGACATACTACTAACGATAAAGTAGAATAAAGTTCAATCATCCTGCTTGATCTAGGGGAAAAGCCATTAAAAACCTCCAATTATGAGCACCGTGATATATTTATTATAAACATTTTTTCTGACGCCAACAATTCCAAATTTGTAGCTATGCGATACATTTACCCTCTATCATGGTTCCTTCAATGAGCACCATTAAAAAATCTACCTATATGGACAACGAAAGGCACATGGTGTTGACATGGCGTCAACATGGTTTAAGTGAAATAAAAACGGCGTCGTTTTAATTGGAAAATTATCTGATGAAATCTTGACAGAGAGTAAATGTATCACACACACACACAGCTACAAGGTCAGGGTTCTTGATGTCACAAGAAAATTTTTAGAGCAAATGTATCATGGTAGGCATAATTTGAAGTTTTTTATGTCAGAAAAAGAGTTCAAAGAAAAAATCATTACTTATATCGCTTACAAAAATGAAAGAACGAAAATATTTGTAACGTCTATGAAAATGTTGATAATTGAAATATTTTCCATTTACTAATTATTTTAAGCCACGTAAGTGATTGTTTATTGAAAATATTTTTCAAATCATTCATTTTCATGAAATCTAATCTAATATTTCTAGAACAAGATGTGAACATCAACTTGTCGTACATACATGAATGAGCCTTAATCTTTCTTGTGTACGCACACGGGGAGCAATGATGAAATGGGACGTTTTGCTATTATTAGTATTTATCATTTAAATACTTTCTATTGTTTATTAAGATTAATATCACAAAAAACCTCAAATTGGTACACTTGTAGTATTTGCTAATTATAGTGATTCCCGAGAGTTCACAATCATAAACTATCGAAAGCTTGTAGACAAACAATTCGAGACTTGAATATAGACCGTAAAATGAATTTGAAGCTGGACATCTATATCCGACGGCTCAAAATTATGTCAAACTCCATCATGGCAAGGTACATGTAGCAGAGTATTCTGCAGCTAGCCATCTCATACCAACATATGCCTCCCCGACAGCTCCTTCACCATCGTGGGCCAAAATCGCATCAAAGGATCGCCGCTACGTCAGTGTTTTTGAAACCTAAATTATCAAGGACAGCCAACAATGACATCTTATTTCTATTATACATCTACAAGTCACAAAGGACGGCAAGTTTGTCTGTTTGATAAGGAAAACAAAATCAAGTGCTTTGGCCAAAAGAAAAGGTCCTATATTTCAAACGACATCCAAAAGTCTTGATCTGAAGAAAAAGGAGAACAATCTCACCTGAGGACATAGTGTGCACCAAAACATACGCTCTTCGGTCTGACTCAAACTTCTTGGCATATTAGGAAGACCAAGACTTTACTGTAACTCATCAACTTTCTTGTGTAGAAAGTGAGGCAAAAGGGAAAAAGGTAATATTATTAAATCCAGGAAGACCGAGATTTTGCAGGACTCAAATTGGCTTCATTGCTTCACTTTTCACATCCCTCTTCTTCCATCCCTATGTGAATGTCTCTTTTTCCATTACTAGTAGAACTTTCACTCGTTACAGGTCTTGCTTAAACTTAACAATACTAGAAACAAGTATAAGAAGAAAGCCAAGAAGGAACGGAAAAGTTCTCTCCAATGGCCATGGGTGAATCAGTCACCGTAGAGAACAACAAGGGTTATGGTGAAGCTAACTAGCTAAGTGATAATGAGGTAATGGAGAGAGAAAACTATAGAAGTCCCGGAAGACCAAGACTTTCACCTACGAAAATTATTAAACAAAGACCAAGACTTTAAAAGATGCTCATCAATGGCTAGAGAAATCATTTTAAAATACTTTTTGTCCACAAGTACTCGTTTCCTAATATTTAGAGAATATTTCCAGAGACTTTATTGGATGTCATTTGCTCTTTTGTCTGGAAAGTGAAGCAAAAGTGGAGAATTTCTACGCGTGACATGTGAAGCAAAAGTGAAGCACTTTAAGAAACAGTACTAACTGGGAAGAAACTTTAATCAATTCGAGGAAGACCAAGACTTTGTAAAACGCAAATTGGCTTTGTTGCTTCACTTTTCACATCCCACTATCACCCATAATGTGAATGTCTCTTTGTTGCGCACCATAATTTGGGCTAACTTTGCATGTTCAAAGGAGCACAATTCTCCGAACAAGCGATTCATGATCATCAACTACTTCAGCACCCTTAAGCTAATCATTGTAGCCCATCTTGATGCGAATTTTTAGCATTATAGCTGCCACGTAAAAGCCTATAACTGCCAAAAAAAAAAGGTTAACAAAACACTTGTAAGCAGTAACCGTTTTTACAAAGATATGCATGCACTCTAAGTTGGTCATATGAAGAAAAATCACCTTTAATCCTCTGTTTTGGATGGCCACAAGAAAAAAGAAAAGGTCCTTTGTTTCAAACGAGAGCCAAAAGTCTTGATCCGGAGAAAAAGGGGAACAATTGATTTATCTAACTCAAGAACATAATGTGCATCAAAACATATGCTCTTCGGTCTTACTCAAACGGATTGTCGTAATAATACACTCAATGCATAAGTATATGCTCCAGGCCAAGGAACCATTTGGGCTCACCCATGATCCGAGGATCATCGAGTTCGTCCGAGGGGCATTTTAGTCGAATTAGAAAGGCGCTACAAGGACCACAAATGCCAGGAAATGCAAGGGTCTATACAAGGAGAAAAGAGCAGAGTTAATGCAGCTACTATCCGGAAATAACTTGTGAGTCTCATTGACTTCTGATTTGTGGACTAACCAAAAGGCCTATGCCTATTGTTGTGTCACGTTCGCTAGAAAGGGCCATACTGGTTATTACATCAACGCATTCTGTCGTTTAAGCATATCCATATCCCCACAAATCACAAATTGTTTGTGTCGAAATCATGAGATTGGTGATTGAATTTGGCAATTTAGATGTCAAAACTAGGTGGAATTCCACCCATTTGATGTTGAAGAAGGCCTATGATTAGATGGATGTGTTGACGTTGTTTTTTTTTTTCGATTAGGCTAAGGCCGCCGGTATTCAGCCACTAAACACGTTGATTGAAGGGTTGCCGAACTATTCAAGGACTTCTTGGAGGTGTTCAACGGCGCTACAGAGGCTTTTGTGTATTTCCAGTACGCATTTAGGGAAGATGAACCATTTTTATTAGTAAAAAAACACGTGTTTATAATGCGTTTCATGTAGAAATTGTAGGAACCGTGCTGCATGTGGTTATATTTTAACTTTTACATTCTGGATTATTAGATTTACCACAAAAGTGTTAAGGGAATCTTTCATGATCATAATAAAAATAGAGAGGCCATTAAAGAGTGAATTTATAAAACTTAGAGTTTTCGTGCAAAGTTAGCATTTAGAATGCATTTTTACTTTACACACGCTCACGGGGGTAGTACATAATATCAAGGCCATGTATTAAAATTTTCCCCTGATACGGCTCGAGTTCTTTATTTTCCGTAAATTATTTACTTTGATATCATGTTAATGTTTATTGATTGTGGTTGTTTACTGTTATTGTTTGCGCACTCCGCCATGATCACATGTCGGCGACTTAAGATAATAAGTTTGATGAAGATCACATGCAAATGTATCAAAAAGGCGTTAAATTTATTTAGCGTCACCAAGTCCCCGAACTCGTGATATTTGGTTCACAGGAGTAAGATGGGCTCCCACGTCTTATTCAGGCTGCTAACCGCCCATAATAAGTTAGTGGCAACTCCCAAAGTGAAAACAATTTCCATATTTAATTGAGGAAACCAAATTGCTCTGGAGGGCTTAGGAGAGCCCTTGAGATGGTCCCTACATGGGAATCCCTATAAATCATAACCATCAAACAGGGAGAATTTATTACTATTGAGATTTTCTTTACTTAATTGCATTATTTAGCAAAATGTGCTTTTAATTATTTGACAAATATTAAAAAAAATTAAAAACTAGGTCCGGGCATAACGTGCTAAGGCCCGGGCACGTGGGACGGAAATGAAGAACATGCAGAGCAGGCACGGATCGAGTCAACACCCCCCCGCAATCAAGCCTCAAGAGATCCAAGAACTCGCCAGAGCCAAACTCGACAGCCCCATGAAGAAAGGCGAAAAAATGAGAGACGAAATTTGACGACAGAACCGAAATGGGTACTCGAGATTCTCAGCGGAGGGAGCGCAAATTACCTCAAACTTAGAGATGGGAGGGGCGATCTGGTTCCTCTCTAAAGTATCCATTTCCAGAGAAGAAGCTGCTTCACATCTCTCTCTCTCCAGAGCACACCCCACCCCCCTCCCCCTCTCTCTCTCTCTCTCTCTCTCTCTCTCTCTCTCTCTCTCTCCTCCTCCTCTGAAGCCTTTCTCCCTTTCTGGGTATCTTCCAGAGCGAGACCGGGAGTGAGAGTGTGAGAGATAGAGAGTAAAAAAAACAGGTGGAGGAGATTGCAGGAAGAGGAAGATGACATTCAAGAAGGAGCGGGAAGGCGGGAGTGAGAGAGATAGAGAGAGACAGAGAGAGAGAGAGAGATTTTCTCGTGGGAAAAAGTACACTATAAGTGCCATAACTTGTGTACGGCGATCACTTTGATGCCATAACTTTTTTTCGGATCACTTTGGTGCCAACTTTTTTGAAAAACGATCACTTGAGTGCCAATGCTGACATGGCACGCCGGAAATCTGATGTGGCTCTTTTTTATTAATATTCGATGCTGAGATGGCTGGCCGGAGCAGGCCGGAGAGTCCAGTCAGCCCTTATAGCGAAAACGACGTCGCTCAACCTTTCTCCCCCCAATATAGGAACCCTAAATCGGCTAATTGGACATATTCCCCACTTGCAAACCCAAACCGGCCATATTATTTCCTTGTTTTCCCCGAAATTGACAGCCAAAGGTTGCAAATGGATGGCAGGAGCTTCACTAGCGGCTCAAATTCGTTTGAACGAAGTGAAGAAGAAGGTCGGTTCTTCTGCTATTGTGGATTACCGAGTCCAAGAAGAATATCTTGGACTCGATTGAACTCCGGGAGAAGATTCCATGAATGCGCCAAGTATAGAGAAGGCTCGAAGTGCAAATTCTTCAAGTGGGTTGATGCGAAATTTTCAAATCGAGCAACAGAGGTGATAGTGAAGCTACTTGAAGCTCAACATCAACCTCCACCTGCATTAATGGACGAGTTGGACGAGTTGGACAATGTTAACTCATTGTAAGCTGAAATGAAGGCTTTAGCATCTCTGGCCAACCATTTGAAGAAGGAAGTTGAAGGATGAAAATCGAAAGAAAGTGTTATCGATTGTTGATTATGTTATTGATATTTTTATAGCCTATTTTATGGTCAAATGTAATGTCAGTTATGAGCAAAAGTTTCTTAGTCTACCAAAATTTAAGATAGGCTTGTACTATGTACGTGTATTTGGCAATTTGTAGCTACGGTTGTGTTATTAGTTTGCTGCAATTTATGTATGTAACAAGAGGTTTGCTGCAATCTATGACAAATGGAAGGTTGGAATTTATTGGTTCTCAATGTTGAGTTGCTTAGTATTTTGTTGCTGCATATTTTGATGCAGTTTTACCTCATTGGCAGCATATTTTGTTGCATATTTTTTCTCATTTGCTGTCTTTTGCTGCACTTCCTCGTTTGCTGCATATTTTTGCTCATTTGCTGTCATTTGCTGCACTACCTCATTTGCTGCATATTTTTTCTCATTTGCTGTCATTTGCTACACTTTCTCATTTGCAGCATATTTTACTGCATATTTTTGCTCATTTGCTGCACTTCCTCATTTGCTTCATATTTTTGCTCATTTGCTGCACTTACTCATTTGTTGTATTTTTTTCATCTGGTTAGATGGTTGCATATTATGGAGTAAGGCTCACTACTGAAAAATGAGGTGCTGCAAGTGCTGCAACTCTGCGTAGCAGCAAATTATGAAGTCGTCACAAGTTCAGCAGTTGACATTTTAGTGCCAAATGTTTCTAATCGTGATCACTTAAGTGCCAGTCGTGGTTCAAAAGTGATCACTTAAGTTCTAGTCGTGGTTCAAAAGTGATCACTTAAGTGCCAGTCGTGGTTCAAAAGTGATCACTTAAGTTCCAGTCGTGATTCAAAAGTGATCACTTAAGTGCCAATTGTGGCCGAAAGTTGATCACTTAAGTGTCATGCCGTGTGTTTCTTTGAAAAATGGAGACTTTGGTTCCAACAAACCAATCTTTAAACCAGATTATTCTAGAATCAACGCAGTAACTGTACCAGCACTGCTCACCAGCACCAAACCGCCCCAAACCATACTCATAAACTGGTTCAAACAGCCCCCAAACCATATTCAATCACCAGCACCAAACAACCCCCAAACCATATTCAAAAACCGGTTCAAAATGCTTGCACCAGCACGTGCTGGCGTGCTGGTGCAAGCACTATACTGCACTCCCAAATATGACAAAATCAGCAGCTACCATACTATACTCCCAAACAGTACAAAATCAGCAGCTAGTGCAAACACCATACTGCACTCCCAAACAGCACAAAATCAGTAGCTGGTGTAAGCACCATATTGCACCTGAAAATAGCACAAAAAACCAGCACTAGCAGCACCAATTCCCACCCTCCCCACCAACTGCATCAGTAAGTTTCTTTGAATATTAACTTACTGATGCAACTTGCAAGCACCCCACTACACCAGTAATATACTAAAACAAAACAAACACGTGTGCAAAAATATGGAAATCACAACCACCTTAACCACGGTAAACATCGAATTTAGTCATTACACACAACATCCCATTAGTCAATAACATTCCAGGACTACAAAAAATCAACCTCCTATTAACCAATACGGTAAACCTCCCTAATTTCACAAAAACTAACAATCACCACAACACCCTCCCATTAGTCAATAGTGATAAGTCCACAATTTCCTTTTCCTTTCGACAGCTTCTTGAATTGATTCATAATTCTTTGACTCTTTTGAACTGGACAAACTGCAGGTTGTTCTTCTGAAGATGCAGGTTCTTCAATAGCTGGAGCTGCATCTTCTTCAACAACTGGAGTTGTTTCTTCTTGAACTGCTTGAGCTGCATCTTCTTCAACAGATAGAGCTGCTTCTTCTTGAACTGCTTCAGCTGCATCTTTTTCAACTGCTGGACCAGTAGGTTGTTCTACTGGCCTTCTTGCTCGAGATTTCTTCTTAGGCGCAGCAACTATCTTCTTCTTACTGGTGTTGGTGGCTATTTTGGAGCTGTCAGCATGTGCTGGTTGATCAGGAACTAGTGTTGAGCTTTTTGTTGGTGGCAATTTACGAACACTCTTCTCTGTAGCCACCCTTCTTCTCTTCGGACCAGCTGCTTGCGACGTTAGTTGGATTCTTTTTGGTGCAACTCTTGACTCCTAGCTTGGGCCAACTTGAGATATGAGAACCTCTAAACTCCTCCCAGGCTACAACATAATCATAG